TAGAAATACTTACATTAATATAATCTAAGACGACTAGTGACTCGTTCTGATCACTTCGATAATTTACCCAGCCATGTAATTAACTAATTATTGCCAAATACGTAATTTTAATTATTTAAAACAAAACAAATAGGACTTTATTTGTGCTGGTAATACAAATAAGTGCGAAAAAAATAAAAATACGCACAGTGAATATAATAATTAAAAAAATTCTAAATCAAGTAAATAATTGATAAAATTAATAATTAACGTATATAAAATAATAATGCTAAATATAAATCTTAAGGTCCTGAACCTCAATGGTTCTTGTTTCTTAATTCATCTGCATGATCATTTTGATAAATGAATAAAAAATATCTATATTAAGAAATGTAAACATAAAATAAATCCGGTCAATTTAACAAGATCCAATATTCGTTACAAATCTTCCTTGGATAACCATCTACTAAAGAAATCAAAACTTGAACTTGACTGGTCATGAGGTGGCATATGTCCAGCTTTAAAAACTCTCAAGAATGTAAGTCCTTTAAAAGTTCTAACATCTCCAGCATGATTGGAAGCGTCTTTTGTTATCCAACGAGTAACATTAGCATTATTAAAACCTTTTTTACCACTCCATTCAAGTTCTTTTACCCACGCTTCATTACCTGAATGAAATATAATGATTTATTAAATCTCGGTATAATGAATTTAGGCTTGATATAGATCAATAAGGCTCTCGATATTGCTTACCCATCCAGTTACAAAGAAAATCAGCATCACCTATAGAATAATATTATTATAGTAAGTTTAATAAATTTTTTCTTTTTTTTTATATAATATTAGTTCATTTATAAAATTACCTGCATAAATTAATACTCGAATGTTGTCTTCCAAGAGCGGAGGAATCGATTGAATGAAAGAAAGCATTCTAGATTAAAAAATATATATATATTACTAGTTATTTTTTTTTAAAAGCTTAGCCATAAATTAAATTAACTAAATTGATTAACGTTTATTTATAGACTTTATCATCGGTATGTTTATAAGTTTTAAATAAAATTTTGGATTTTCTTATATTGAGGTTAGAGTTATGATTAAGTTTGAGAAAGCGTAAACATTTTTACTCAAAGTACCATAGACAATTATTAGCCAGTTTTATGATAATGCACATACAGGTATAAAAACACTATAGGTGCGATAGGACCCGAACAATACAAATAGAGGTTATATTTGACTCATTAGTCAAAATTATACAATTTGACTGGCTAAAAAAATATTTTTTATCCAATCAAATATTAAAAGAAATTTATTCTGCTCAAATATGGATATAACTAAGGTATTAAATAAGAGGATATAATCCAGTGGAGATATAATCCAGGTATGACTGCATACTGCATATTAATTGATAAATTTAGATTACTTACATATCACCGGTTTGTGAAAAGTCTGTAAAAACATCAGAGTTGCAAATCTTATATTTCAATGAAGAATTAGCACCTAATTCATTCTTAAAATCCGTACGATCAGAAAAATTTCCAATGGTGATTAAATCTGGATAGCACGTTGCTATATCATTACACGATTTTCTTACATCAGCTAAGCTTCTACCAGAAGCTTGATAGGGTTCAATCATATAAATAAAGCACAACGCTGTAGCTTTACTGCAGTCTGCTGCACTTTTTGAACTATAACATATTTCAGTTAAATTAGCACAACGTTTATAATCTTTTCTCATTTGATCACATGTAGAAATATTTAATACTGGTCCATAAGATGAATTACAGGCCATGTCTGGATAATATTTAAATTGCAGCAGAGGGTCTACGAGGCCATTTCCAATCAAGATGGATTCAAGATTGATATGAGTAAAATTTTTCTTGTTATTATTATAATATATTTCTGCGGCCACGGCAGGTGAGAAATGTCCTGCGTACCTATTAATAATATATTATCAATGATTCTAGTTATTTTGTAATTTTGTTTATATAATAACAATATTTACAATGCTTACGATTCGCCAGCAATGTGAAAATCTAATTTCGCATATTCAGGAAAGTTTTGAAAAAATATTTGTAAGAATGCGTATATATCAGAGGCGGCCTCTAAAGTAGTAGATACTTTATCACCATAAGAATACCCTGCATTTGTTGGCTATAAAGATAAATTTATATTGATAATTATTGCACAAAAATATGTATGAAAATATAAAATAGAGTTAAAAAAAAGCTTTTTTTCATACTTGATCCAAGAAAATAATATTAGCAATATTATTCAATGAATTATAATTCCGTGAAAAAGAACTATTAATTGGTCCATTTCCATCTCCTTTAATAGTACAAGGACCAACTTCAAAGAATAAGCTATTTAAGGAAGAACATCTAGATGCAAAATTAAAAAAGACTAACCGTTAATTATGAAATACAATATCGATATTGCAAGATGTAATTCAAAATTCCTTGGTCAGTGACCAGTGCAGCCGATCTTATCGCCTTTTCGGCAGGTATTAAAATATACACTTGATGACTTTATAAATGAAGCTTTTAAAAAATATCATACCCTGGACCACCGGTAATCTTTTTGAATAATATAAAACTTTCAATTAAAGATTTAGTAAATGGTGTTACTGTAAATTACTGCATTTACGTACCCAAAGAACGAGTGGATCTTCATGAGGTTTATTTCTTGATTCGAAAAACCAAAAGAAAAGAGATTTATTTGTACTAACGTCAATATATCCAGAATACTAATATGCAGAAAATTTCATTAATTCTGATATTAAATAATAATAATAATAATAAATTCCTAATCCTAATAAATATGTATAAACCTGTTGAACATTTTCATCACAAAGTTTCGGTTCTTTGTATTTAATTTGATATTCAGGAAAAGCACTATGCGTTAATACTTTTTCCCATTTATGATTATCTTGAGTCGAAACCAAATTACAAAGTAACAATACTCCAAGAATAAAAAATATTACTCCAGGTTTAGGACACGTTGAAAAAATCATATTATAGTAGTTCTATTTATTAAATTGAATGTACGAAATGCGATGCTTCTTGTTTTTTAAAAAAAAAGAAAAGGAAAAAGCACACTCGCGCGAAATACGTATTTATACTTCATTCATCACTGTTTTAGGATTTATTTAATAATAATGTAACGGGTAATTTTTTGTTTAATGCTGCCATTATAACAAGCTGAAAGCGCGTGATAATCGATAATTAATGACCATCGTCATGAGCCTTATATTAAAGCATTACGGAGTCCGCTAAAGCTGATGAACTCTATATATTAATATACCTATTGCATAAATTGTATTCTTTATGTAAAATAGAACCATTAACATTGTCCAAAAATAAAGTGTTGCCGCTCACTTTACCGACAGTCATTTCACCGAAAGACATCACATACCACGGCTGTCTTGTACATTTTCCTCAATCATTCATTCACATGAAAAATAAGTTGAAACTTACATTCTTAATTTATTGCGAATTACCAATATATTTTAACGTTAAAATGGCTATAGGTGAAAATCTGATTTTCCTCCAAAACGTATAAAAGATCTAAAAATTTGAATATTTTTATGGCTTTACTGATTTTCACTAGTTGAAATCAAAAATATCTGTAATATATCTGATATGTAGCTTATATGTAACTTATATGTTACAATGTAAACTACATATAAGCCACATATCAGATACTGATATTTTTATTTTGATTTTAACTAGTGTTCGTCACAATGACCAGATCCGTATATCAGGAGTATAAATGTCGTGCCTCAGACTAACGCTTGCCTCAGATGTCAATCGGCCTAAGTTAGAATAGGGTTAGGGTAAGAATCTGGG